CATGCTTGTACACCCTCCATGCTTGTACGCTCTCCATGCTAGTACACTCTCTGTGCTAGTACACTTTCTGTGCCAATGCTCTCCATGCTAGTATGCCCTTCATGTTTGTATGCTCTCCATGCCAGTACACTCTCCGTGCTTGTACGCTCCCCATCCTCCAATGCTCTCCATGCTAGTACACTCTCTATGCTTGTACGCCCTCCGTGCTTGTACGACCCCCATGCTTGTACGCCCTCCGTGCTAGTATGCTCTCCATGCTTGTACGCCCTCCGTGCTTGTACGCTATCTGTGCTAGTACGCTCTCCATGCTTGTACGTCCTCCATGCTTGTACGACCCCCATGCTTGTACGCCCTCCGTGCTCGTACACTTTCCATGCCAGTACACTCTCCATGCTTGTACGCCCTCCATGCTTGTACGCTCCCCATCCTCCAATGCTCTCCATGCTAGTATGCTCTCTGTGCTTGTACGCTCCCCATCCTCCAATGCTCTCCATGCTAGTATGCTCTTTGTGCTAGTACGCTCTCTATGCTTGTACGCCCTCCGTGCTTGTACACCCTCCGTGCTTGTACACCCTCCGTGCTTGTACGCCGTCCGTGCTTGTACGCCGTCCGTGCTTGTACGCCGTCCGTGCTTGTACGCCCTTTGTGCTTGTACGCCCTCCATGCTTGTACGCCCTCCATGCTTGTACACCCTCCATGCTTGTACGCTCTCCGTGCTCCAATGCTCTCACTGCTTGTACACTCTCACTGCTTGTACGCTCTCACTGCTTGTACGCTCTCCGTGCTGGTACACACTCCATGCTGGTACACTCTCCGTGCTAGTACACTCTCCGTGCTTGTACACTCTCCGTGCTAGTACGCTCTCCGTGCTTGTACACTCTCCGTGCTTGTACACTCCCCGTGCTCCAATGCTCTCACTGCTTGTACACTCTCACTGCTTGTACGCTCTCACTGCTTGTACGCTCTCCGTGCTTGTACGCTCTCCGTGCTGGTACACACTCCATGCTTGTACACTCTCCGTGCTTGTACACTCCCCGTGCTTGTACACTCTCCGTGCTTGTACACTCTCCGTGCTGGTACACACTCCATGCTCGTACACTCTCCGTGCTTGTACGCTCCCTGTGCTCCGATGCTTTCCATGCTTATACACTCTCTGTGCTTGTACACTCTGCATGCTTGCTGCTAGTACACTCTCCATGCTCCAATGCTCTGCATGCTAGTACACTCTCCATGCTAGTACACTCTCCATGCTTGTATGCTCTCCATGCTTGTACACTCTCTGTGCCTGTATGCTCTCCATGCTTGTATGATCCCCATGCTCCTACACGCTCCATGCTTCTATGCTCTCCATGCTCCAATGCTTTCCATGCTTGTATGCCCTCCCTGCTTGTACACTCTCAGTACTTGATGCTATACACTCTTTGTGTTTGTACACTCTCCATGCTTGTATGCTCCCTATTCTGATGCACTCTCCATGCTTGTATACGCTACGTGCTTGTACACTGTCCATGCTTGTATGCTCTCAATGCTTGCACGCTGTCTGTGCTAGTACACTCTCTGTGTGTGTACACTGTTCATGCTTGTATGCTCCCCGTGCTCCAATGAGTACACTCTCCATGCTTGGATGCTCTCTGTGCTTGTATGCTCCCTGTGCTTGTACACTCTCCATGCTTATATATTCTCCATGCTTGTATGCTCTCTGTGCTAGTACACACTCTGTGTTTGTACACTGTCCGCGCTTGTATGCTCTCCATGCTTGCACACACTCTGTGCTAGTACACTCTCCATGCCAGTACACTCTCTGTGGTTGTACACTCTCCATGGTTGTATGCTCTCCATGCTTGGATGCTCCCTGTACTTTCATGCCCTCCATGCTGGTACACTCCTCGTGCTCCAATACTTTCCGTGCTTGTATGCTCTCTATGCTTGTATGCTTTCCATGCTTGCATGCTTCCCGTGCTTGTACACTCTCCATGCTTGTATGCTTTCCATGCTTGTGCATTCTCCATGCTTGTATGCTCTCCATGCTCATACACTCCATGCTTGCATGCTCTCTGTGCTTGTACACTCCCTATTCTGGTGTGCTCTCCATGCTAGTACACTCCCTATTCTAGTATGCTCTCCATGCCAGTATGCTCATTGTGCTGGTACACTCTCAAATGTGCTATGTATTACTATACTTTGTATACTTATCCCTACATGTGCACATGCATGTGTAAAATAATGGGCCATGGGTCAAAATCATATACAAAAAATAGCATCCATGGATACAATTGAGTCCCTCCAAGTGGCCCATGGGCAGACACAACAAGGCCCCATATGAGCCCATGGGCATAGCTTACGCCTCACTGGTTCGCCCATGGATACAACACCAAGAACCTCCATTGGTCCATGGACAAAGTAAGCTTGTGTGTGATGTGCCCACGGACAGAACCCGCTTTCATGGAACTTTGCCCAAGGACAAACCCACCACCTTGGTACTCTGCCCATGGATAAACCCCAGCTGCCCTAATCTGTCCATGGGCGGAACAACCAAACCATATTTAGTCCATGGACAGATTTAACCCTGGGCATAATGTTGCCCATGGGCCAACTTGATGTAGCAGTTGTGGGTCCATGGATAGAATATTATCGTGTCAAATTGGTCCATGGGCAGCAAAACCAATCACAGTGAACAGCCCATGGATCAAGTATCAACACAATTCTATGGCCCATGGGCTGAGCATGTTTACAAATCTTCAGTCCATAGACACATGCACAAGGCGCCTGTGCTGTATATATGTTACCAATATGGCAAAATAGCTGAAGGACAATTTATTTGCTCAGTCCAATTAATCTTCTTTGATGCGTAGGCACTGGGTACATACTTCATTTGTATGTATCACCACCAGTACAGCTGTCAAGACACTTCAATGCAGACACCTGTATTATGACCAATATGTTGTTATACAATGCACAGGAACCACATACATAATCGAAATTATATCCCAATAATTTCACATCTTATATAAAATGTAAACTACAAGTAAATGCCTGATTTACAGTTGCTAAATTAAATGAGATCTTGCTGAATGTCGAAAATAAAGCTTTGCACCGTGAAAAAGTAACCAACATCATCATGAGGTTAGTGTCAAGCACAGCAGAGGCTATGCTCGGGTGCACTGCAGCAGAAATTGGCTGTGTACCAGAGAACGGTCGGCGTCGCCAAGTTCACATCTCTGACATGATCACAAGCTGTAGATCGGCCCTATAAATAGACATCAGTAGTTGGGTACATACAGCGCAGACTTCCTTCGTGCTGTCAGAGACCTTTAACAACTCAACGTTTGATCTACTCATAGCTACATCTTTCAACGAACAGGTAATAGGCATAAAATTGAATATGATAAGTTTCGGCATAAGGAATATCGCATGGTAGTGTATGTGCAAGTCATGAACGCGTAACAAACTGGATGCAAAGCGGACATGTTGTAATCAATCATCATTGTACGGTTTCGATGAAGTTTGACACTTACGATAAATCAGACATCCATCTGTTCATTGCTCTCCCATTGCATTTGATGGCCACCGGTCGGATATTCGTCATTGGGCTCGTCTAACCATTCAGGTTCCTCACCAAGCTGAGCAATGTCACCACTAGAGGAAATGTGCGACGTAAGTGAGCGAACATATTGGGGGGGGGGGGTACTCGACTTACATTTGGTCATGGACGGCATACATCGGGAACCTAAATATCCCAGCGTGAGGAAGCGTAAAAAACAGAAACAGCACCTTACTCACCCGTTGGGCGGCCCCATTGGTGCTTGGAAAGATGGTGGGCCGTGGAACGGCGGGTGAGGTGGGTATCCGTAGCTGTAGGGATATGCAGGGGCACCGTAGCCACCGTACGGTGTGAAGCCCTGGGAGAATCCATCGGCCTCTCCGCCGTAATATTGTATTGGGCCTCGTCCAGGCGGAGCTGAAGGTCCTCGTCGTGCGTACCCTCCACTCGACCCACGGACTATACTATGACTCGGGGATTGTGCAGTCCTGCTACCTCGCTCTCTGTCGATGCCAGCGCTTTGCTGGGGAAGAGAAGCACGACTCGCCAAACCATAGTAGACATGCTGAGGAGTGATTCTACGTACCCCCATTGGCATCGTGCTGTTGACGTCGGCAAGGCTTGATGGCCCGGCAACGCCGGGCGAAAGAATAGGAGGGCCTTGAGGGACTGCTGCCAGAGAGCTTGAAGGACCACCCGTGGATTGTGAAGGCAGCCCGGACAATGCACGGCGGGAGTTCTGAGATGGTGTGGAGACAGACGGTCTAACAGGGTTCGGGAGGACATCAGGAGCAGCTGTTCCTGGGGCCCGGCAAGGGAGCGGGGGTTGAGACGAGCGGGAAAGCGCGGGCTGCGACGCGCGCGCAGAGGCTGCCTGTGGCGCGCGAGAGGGCGCAGGCTGCGATGCGCGAGAGGACGCAGGCTGCGACGCGCGAGAGGACGCAGGCTGTGACGCGCGAGCGGAGGCTGGCTGAGATACGCGAGAAGGTATGGACTGGGGCGCGGGCTCGGACGCACGAGAGGCCGCAGGTTGGGGCGCACGGGGGGGCGCGGGTTGGGGTTTGTGACCAGGCGCCGGCTGGGGAGGATGCACAGGTGCCGCCGATTGGGTACCACACGATTGCGAGGACGGAACTGCACTATCCACCTGGGATAATTTTTCTTTGCTGGACGTCAGTTTTAGGTTATACGGGCCACACGACACTGACCTGGCAACATGTCGTCGTCGGAAGAACTCAGATCGCGTATATCTTCGATATCACCGAGATCTAGTCAAGTTTAGGTGAGATGTTGATAGATCAATGACTAGATCCCGACCTTGTTGTTTGCCTTTATCCGCATGAACGCGGTCTTCGCCCTCGTCCTCCTCTGACGACGAGGACGATTCACCGGAACTTGAAGTGTCCGCCTCAACTGCTGTTGCTGGTTGAATTGGTGCAGCATACACATCGAAATTACATACACTCACATGGCGACGGCTTTGCTGGCTTGCGTGAGCCAGAAGGCTTGCTTTTGGCAAGACGTTGTTTCTCTAGCGCAGGTCACAGACTGTCTGAGGAGATGCATAAAAGGTGAACAAATAACGTACTCGTAAACTTCATCTTCACGTTCTGGATCCGTAAGAGGGCCTTATTCTCCGTCAAGACAACGAGTGGAATGTGCAATCTCTGTTTATCATCCTGCAAACGTTCCAGCCAGCCTGCAGGACACATTATAAGTTAAGTTAAGGGACCTGTAGGCGCATTGCACTTACTCTCTGGCCATTTTATCAGCTGGATTTCCGGTGCTTGTGCCAGGTCGCGTCGCAGCGCCTGTCTGTCGAACTGGACCAGTGTCTTGTCCGAGAAGTCGGCGTCGGTGTCTACCTCCTTGAGTACGGAATTTTTGAGCCACTTGTAATCAACCTTCGGCCTCGTTCCCTTGACATACGCGTGCACCAGCAACCATAAGGCAGCGGTGCCAAGGTGCTTCGGATCGAAGTCCTCCGCACCAATAGGGAAGTGAGAGAGGGAGGCCGGCCAGAATTTCCACATCCAACCGTTCGCAATGCACTTGGGCATAAGTTTCTTCCACCCAACCTTCTTCGTAGTAGACCCCATTGCGCCTGAGAAATCATAAAATTTGTAAGCCACGATTTTAGATGTAGGATGACCTGACATACGGAGCTTCACCAAAACCATCTCTCGAATAATGCCACGGAGGGTGTCTCGAACAGGGTTGGATGCCAGAGACTTGACGGTGAGGAATGGGTCGGGCATCGGCACATCCTTATGCTTCCCCTCGCAGTCAGTCATCCTAAGGACGTTAGGTGAGCAATAGAAATGACAACACGAGGAGACGAACGTACGTGAGGACGGCACCCATATAATCAACTATCCCTTGTATATTGACACCCCGCTCGCGAAAGACTTGAAGGGTGTGATTGGAAGATGCGAAGAACCCAGCTTCGCCAGCAGGGACATCCTCTCCGCCCTTGTGGATGACAAGGCCCACAATCTCGAGGTTGTTCATGCCACCGGTCAACTGAGCCTACACCCGAATTCAGCGGCCGTAGAAAAATATAACTCGGTACTCACCGTCTTGCAGAGACGTCTGCACTCTCGGGTGACAATTGTCGATGGGCGAGGGCCACTCCCTGATGACGAAAAGTCCTTGCACTTGACCTCCTCCCAGTGCTCCCGGATGGCCGCAAAATGCTGCTCCGCTTTCTGACGCTTCTTCACGGAACTTTCGTCTTGCTCAGTCGATGTCGCCGCAGCTGTAAATGTCAGAACTTTCTCAGCCGCATTATAATGAACCCCGCATTATAACGTTATTTTGGTCCACCTGTTCTGATTGCCATGACATTGCCATGGTATTTTCCCTGCAGATTACGCGAATTTGGTCCTTTTCCTTAACAAATATGGTAACTTTTCGCCTATTGGAATGGAAATCGCCTTTCATAATAATGCATTGCCATGTAAACAGCGTCGCCTTGCATCATAATGGATAAAGATGCTCCTGAGAAAGTTCTGACAAACCTCCGCCATCTCTTGTCGGCCGCTTGCCGCCATGCTTTCGGATCATCTACCATTCGTTGATTAGATCTCGTACAAAAAACAGATGGAAGACATGTGTACCTCGGGGAATGTCATCACGCGCTTTCTGCCAGCATAAAAACATATTGTATAATGAAGTCTCCCTTTCGTGAGGGATCGATATCCCCATCGCCTCCATAATAGTGTCGGCCGGCTTTCGGAGCTGTTGAGCCCTCTTATGGACTTCAGCCATGATTTCAGCGCCAATATCTGCGAGCTCAGCGCAGATAGCGGCGGGTAAAGGGCCAGGGACATAGCGATCATCGCCGCTTTTTTCGTCGCCGTCTGCTTCGCCATTTCCTTCATCGTCGTGGTCCTGAGACGCCTTGATATTGCCGGCCTTCTTCCTACGGGAGGCAGAGTTCTTGCGCGCTTTCCTTGACTGGCGGCGTGCATTTGCCGGCTCCTGGTCCTCGGCATCCTGGGACATCTCGGTGTTGATGGGCTGCTGCTCGCGCGTATTGCCAGTGTCGGTGCTGCCAGTGTTGGGGGTAGCAGGTCTTGTCTGCTCCTGAGACATATCATTGCTGGTGTGGTTTTGCTGCCGAGACTTGGGTACTTTGCGGCGGCTGTTCGCCCCTTTGCTGCGGGTCGTGGGACGTTCGACCCTACTCGAATCTTGGTCCTCGTCCGGGGACGAATCCTCGTGGGTATTGGTATGCTTGTCGCGTTGATTCGGCTGTTGATATCTTTTACGAGATTTGGGGACGGAGCCCGGCGGTAAGTATTCGTCTGAATCGTCGGGGGAGCTCTCCCTCCATGATGCTAGCGAGACAGTTAGGATGTGATACATATAATGAAATCAATAAGACTCACATTGCTTAGCGGGGGTTGGAGGGCTACTGTTCCGTTCGGCTTCGTCAACCTGCATCATCTCTTCGGCTGCATCTGCTTCGCCTTGGTGTAAGTCCCGTGGTCCTACATAGGCGGCGGTTACTTACTGCTGACATCTTGATGACGGTTTTCGCCACCAAAATCTTGGTCTAAATGTATATCATCTTTGAGAAAAAGACTTGTAATGGCATATCAAAGAACGTACCGTTGTCTTGAGACTGGATCGTATCTGCGGATGGTGGGTAAGCGACGTACGTGGTATTGCAGGTTTGCTCACCGTTGTCTGGGTTTTGGTGAAGAGCCAGGGCTACACTGTGTTCTTCCGCGCCTCCACCATCGTTAACAAACTGCACGACTAGTTGTATCAGATGTATGAGTACGACACTTGCATACGGTAAATTGAAGAACACACCTTGTTCCTGAGTCCGAGCCGTATCTGGAGATGGAGAGGTTAATTAGTGACTTACACGTTAACAAACAGGTTTGCTCACCGCTCCTGTTCGGCACTTGGTGGAGAACCAGGAGTGCTCTACGTTCCTCCGCGTCTTGAGAGTGATTGCTATCGTAAATCTTGTCTTTATGGAGTTAGGGATGCATAGAATATCGTGGGACTAGTAGCTTACCCTGTAGTCTGGCGCGTAATGCATCTTGGCCGGGATCAGGGTCTTGAGCAGATGCGCTGCCCAACGGATGGTTGTCTGTAGAGGTGGAAGAGGCAGGGTGTGAGGGTGGTGATAAGAGCTGCTCGACACGTTGATCCTAAGAATATAGCGTTATTAGCAATCAAGAGCAAAGGGGAAATAGAAAAACGGAAAGACGCACGTCGTCGTCGTCGTCCACGTCCATGGGATCACTGGCATCACCCTCTGCAATGATTTGTGCTTCATGGCGGATTCGGGCTTGTTCGACCAAAGAATCTGGGTTGATCTTCTGTGGCCTCGGTTTCCTAGGCTCAGGAAGAGGGCCAGGCACTTTCCCTCGTGAACGAAGGGCCTTTCCTGGGGGTGGTGTCCTCGGTGGAGAGGCTGGCGAGGAAGGTCGAGGAATATTCTCCGAGGTTGGAGAGGAGACGGACGCTGCAGGATCCGTCAGGCTGGTTGCTAAAGGGAGGTGGGCTTCGCGTGCTAGGCAGTCAACCGCAAGGGTGGCAGGGGCGATCTCGAGGAGGTTACCGCTTGTTGATGCGGTGCCGGAGGTGGATGGGTCTGCTGAGCCTACTCCTGTTTGCACAGGTGTCTTAGCAGAGGGTTTTGAGGCGCACTCGGGATCTGGTAGGGAAGACGGGTCCATTGCTTCCTCCGCCGCTGCGACACTATCTGATCGAAGAGCAGTCTTCGTGCGCGAAGAGGTGGATGCCGTCTTCCTGGACCTAGCTCTTTTGACACCTGGAACGGCAGGGGATACATTCGCTCCGTCGAGCTGAGCAGAAGCAGAAGGTATCTCTGAGGAGGACTGAAGTGTTTTTCCTTTCCGCGTACGGGAAGGTGCTGTTGCTGATTTTGTGACGTCTGCCTTCTCCTGTTCTTGCTGCAACACAGTTCTGGGTAAGGTACGGGACGAAGCAGATTGGGTATGGCGTTGAGAACGATCACGAAGTGTCGGGCCCATGATAGGTTCTAACGACAAAGTAGAGACGCGTACAGGGTAATGTACAACTAGATAGTGGCAAAAGTGCTGGCTAACTGTCTTGGATAACAAGGATGCGAAAAGGCGTAGAAGCAAGCGCAGAATGTGCGGAAGCACTGCAGAGGGGAAAGGGTATAGGAGCTCAAAGGATTACAACTGACACGTAGTCAGGGAAAGGCGACGCGAAGTCGGCACAAAGAGACGACGAGTGACGCGAAGTCAGCACGAAGAGACGCGAAGTCTCTGGTGGGGTGAGGGCTCGAAGTCCTCTCTGGAGACAACTCAGACAACAACAACGTGAATGAAAGCGGTAGTGGCAGAAAGAGCGGTCGGGCGAAGGAAGTGGTTGCGGTGAAGTTTTCTCGGGCAAAACCGTGGAGGATGGAGTGCGAGGTTTGTTTGGTTGCATGTCAAAGATAATTTGAAAAATATATAGTCCATCGATAAGTCCTAGATGTTCGATATCAAGCTCAAGTACGGGTCTAGGATATAGGAGAACTGACTTACAGACTCCATCGGTATTGTGTAGCGCAATCCTGCGACCATCCCAGAGGTCAAAGAACAAACATGCTCGATCGTTGGTCTTTGGCGTTTTCTTCTCTGATTTTGCCGGAGGATGTGTAGCGCGCGTCGGATGACATGTCCAACTTAAGGCAATGTGAATATTAGTAATCGGCGGAGCGAGGAGACGGTCATTCCCGCACGTCGGCCTTGCAGCAAAAGCTGTTCCTGGCCAACGAAGTCTTCAAGCCATGTCAGAGATGCCCCAGCTCCTTACGCGCTTTCATATTGCAATCGTTCCCATTGGCATCCGTGCCCACCATCTCGACGCCGTGTATCACGGGCAATGGATCTTTGACACACCTACACCCCCTCATATGGACGAAGAAAACGGGCAGGCATCTAATACATCGCTCGTTCAGGTATGGCGATGGAATCGAGAGAAGCCAAACACCGATCTTGTAGGCTATATCCCCCTTCCGCGACTGTATTGCCAGCACTGGTTCCAACTCTGTTACACAATATCGCTGGAGGGATGGATTCTGAGGAAATTCGATGGTTGGTATACGAAGATGGCACGCAATGACCCTCGCCGCGACCGCGGTTACAGCGCCATGCTCAATGTGAGCCTGGATCTTGCAGCGCACCTGGAGGCTCGCATCCAAATCATCAAGGAGCTGCTTAGTGCCGACAAAGAAGCCGACCATCTACCAATCTTTGACGAATACATCATCCGGCAACAATACGGCGTGGAGAGTATCGCATGGAGGTGGCTTCGTCCTGAGACAAGGTCGTGCATGGTCGCGCGCCCTCTCGATCCTATCAACGCTTGGCACCTGGGTAAGCTGCGTGGGTACATGAATTCGAAAGAAAAGGATACTTACAACTTGCATGATATAGACACAAGCGACGACCCATGGTGGACACTCGCTCCACCTTACGACGAGGGGGAAGTCGGAATCCGGTACATGTGGCAGTGGGGACACATAGACGAGAACAGCGAGCGCGGACGCGCCATCATCGAAGCGACAGCCGGCGCTTGGGCTTGGCAAGTGGACGACTCCAGTAGTGAGTGGGGCTATAAGCGAGAGGGTGTATGGTCCACTTGGAGCGACGTTCGAGGGCCCCTCACATGGCTCGAGGAGAACTGGATTTCGCACCTGCCGAGTCTGGCAGAGACAGGCATGTCACTTCCCGAAGCAAGGCTTTGGCGGGGGATGGACGTCGAACATCCACGTTGGCAGGAGGATGGGGAACTGGTAGCTCGCGTACGCAATGATGAGGCAGATGAGGAGTCGCTGGCAAGAGGGGTGACTGATTATCGCAGGTACCCTCACTCTCCCTTCTGCTGTGATCCGCGGTATGGGCCCCGCCACTGCAACAGGTGTACGCTCCAGTACAAGGCGAACGGGGAGGTTGGCGAGTTCCCAAAAATGCCGGATCATCGTGATTGGCCGCACGCTCCCACCTGCCAGCTGCCAGGATACGGGCCAAGGTCTTGCGATCGATGTTGCCTGAAGTACCTTTCCGGCCAGTGGAAAGGAGCATTTCCGGATCCCCCCTCCCCGATACGCGACGTTGATCGAGGACAGTTCCCGGAGCCGCACCATTCCGAATGCGAGATTAAACCTAGGATGAAGTTAGCATATGAGTGGGTAACACAGTCATAAGTAGCATAGAGGTCGGAGAATACCAATCAGTCGCAAAGTGATATAGAGAACAAAAATGACTTGCCTATAGGCTTCCTCACCACCGGGGAACCCAATTTAGAGTCTGGACGTGAACGTCGTGTACTACGACTTCTGGTGGGAGCAGCGGGAGGCGGTACAAGCCAGATGTGAACATCGTGTATTAGGACAGGTTCAGAATGGGAGCAGCAGGAGGCGCGGTAGCAGCTCGTCCTGTTCAGGGACTACAAGCCGGACGTAAACATCGTATAGACTACGGGCCGGATGTGAACATCATGTACTGCGACGAGTTCAGAATGGGCGGCGCGGGAGGCGCGGCAGTAGCTTGTCCTGTTCAGGGACTACAAGCCGGACGTTAATATCGTGTGTTAGGACGGGTTCAGAATGGGAGCAGCAG